CTGCAACCTCTGCCTCCCAGGTTCAAGCGATTCTCCTGCCTCAGTCTAAGTAGATGGGATTACAGGCACCCGCCACCATGCCCGGCTAATTTTTTTTTTTGTATTTTTAGTAGAGACAGGGTTTCACTATGTTGGCCAGGCTGGTTTCCAACTCCTGACCTCAGGTGATCCACCCACCTTGGCCTCCCAAAGAGTGGGGAAAATAGGGGGGGGCACAATGCCCCCCCTTTTTTTTTTTTTTTTTGATACAGGGTCTCACTCCCATTGCCCAGGATGGAGTGCAGTGGCAGGATCTCAGCTCACTGCAGCCTCAACTTCCTGGCCTCAAGTGATTCTCCTACCTCAGCCTCTGGAGTAGCTGGGACCTCAAGTGCGCACCACCATGTCTGGCTAGTATTTTGTATTTTTAGTAAAGACAGCATTTCACCATGTTGCCTAGGCTGGTCTCAAACTCCAGGACTCAAGCAATCTACCTGCCTTGGCTTCCCAAAGTGCTAGGATTGCAGACTTGAGCCACTGCACTGGCCCAGATGCAGTTGTTTTGTTTGTTTGTTTTGAGACGGAGTCTCGCTCTGTTGCCCAGGCTGGAGTGCAGTGGTGCAATCTCGGCTCACTGCAACCTCCGCCCCCCAGATCCAAGTGATTCTCCTGCCTCAGCCTCTTGAGTAGCTAGGATTACAGGCAGGTGCCACCATGCCTGGCTAATTTTTGTATTTTTAGTAGAGATGGGGTTTCACTGTGTTGGCCAGGCTGGTCTCAAATTCCTAGACTCAAGCAATCTGCCCACCTCAGCTTCACAAAGTGCTGGGATTACAGGCATGAGCCACCGCGCCCGGCCCGAGATGCAGTTTTGAAATCATTTCCCCTGCACCAGGGTTTTCTCAACAGGAAATGCTGAGGGGCTGCTGGAAGCTGCCTTGTGTTGTCTTGAAGGAGGATTTCTGCCCCAGGTGAAATAATGTGTCAGAGCAAGCCCCCTCATGCTCTCAGGACCAAGAGCCCTAGTCTGATCTTGTCCCACAACTCCATGCCTTAGAGGATCCACCTGTGCCTCCTCCACAACAGTTGTTGTAATGCCCAAACTAGATCTCTGCTGGGCTGTTAGCCAACACAGGATCCCCTCTCCACTCCTCCTGCCTGATCCAGACACCATCCTTTCAAGCAAGGTTCAGCTACTGCTGTGGTGCTTCCACCAACCCCCTATGACCCTGATTAACCCTCACCAGCACTACCCATGAATTCCCTTAGCCAGTATCACCATAATACAGAAAGAAATGAGATGCAAACTGATCAGGGTGTGGGTAGATCTCTTGCTGAGAGGGCCACTATTAACTAACATTTGATGTGTAGACTCTTCTGGGTCTTTTTGTGTGTGTATATTAACATATATAGAGAAAAAAGATTCAACACTAAATGCTAAAACAGGTCCAGATGCAGTGGCCCATGCCTGCAACTGGAACACTTTGGGAGGCCAAGGTGGGAGGATCACTTGAGGCCAGGAGTTTGAGACCAGCCTGGACGACACAGAAAGACCCTATCTCTAAAAAAGAACTAAGGCTGGATGTGGTGGCTCATGCCTATAATCCCAGCACTTTGGGAGACCTAGGTGGGCAGATCTCTTGAGCTCAGGAGTTCAAGGCTGCAGCGAGCTATGATCACCCCACTGCAACTCCAAGGAAAAAAGCTAAAATAATGATCCCCCATAAAAATTGTTCTTAAATTTCATTTTCGGGGCTGGGCACAGTGGCTCATGCCTGTAATCCCAGCACTTTGGGAGATCGAGGCAGGCAAATCACTTGAGGTCAGCAGCTCAAGACAGCCTGGCCAACATGGTGAAACCCCATCTCTACTGAAAATACAAAAATTAGCCAGGCATGGTGGCGGGCGCCTGTAATCCCGCCTACTTGGGAGGCTAAGGAAGGAGAATGGCTTGAACCCATGAGGTGGAGGTTGCAGTGAGCCGAGACTGCACCATTGCACTCCAGGCTGGGCAACAAGAGCCAAAACTCTGCATCAAAACATGAAATGAAATGAAATATCTATAGTGAATCTTTTTCTGTCAGTCAAAACACACAGATCGAATTAACTCTTCTGAGCCTCAGCTTAAGAGTATTTTACCTGCCTAGGAGCTGGGCACAAGCCGGCAGCTAACCCCCACGTGGGCCTGGGTAGGAGGTGAGATCAGGAAGATCCCTGGGCCCCTACTAGTTTCCCGCCTGGCCAGCTCCCCTACTTGTCTTGGGGGTCTACGGAGCCAGCATTGGGGGTGGAAGGACGAGGGGTCCTCGACGCTGCAGCGGCGGTTCCGGCCCATGGGGGCGCTCTCCTACCTGTTGACGGAAAAGCCGTGGCGCCCCCTTGCGTGGCTCTTCGGTCGCAGAGTCGCGTGACTTCAATCCCCGGTTCGCAAGGCCACGAGGCTGGGTCGTCATGGTCCGGACCCCATTGTCGGCCTCTGCCCGTCGCCTGCTCCTCCCAGGCTCCTGCGGCCGACCCCAGTGCCATATGCAGCCCACAGGCCACGAGGGTTCCCGCGCGCTCAGCCGGCGGCATCTGCGGCGTCTGCTGCTCCTGCTATTGCTGTTGCTGCTGCGGCAGCCCGTAACCCGCGGGGAGACCACACCCGGCGCCCCCAGAGCCCTCTCCACGCTGGGCTCCCCCGGCCCCTTCACCACGCCGGGCGTCCCCAGCGCCCTCACTATGCCAGGCCTCACTACTCCAGGCACCACCAAAACCCTGGACCTTTGGAGTCGCGCGCAGGCCCTGATGAGGGATTTCCCCCTCGTGGACGGGTATGTAGGTGCAGCGTTTGGGCAATGCAGGGTGAACACACCTTGGGCAGGAGAGGAGGTTCTGACATGCAAGGCTATCAAGGAGGCTCCCTCACACCACCCCTGGATGCCCTTTCTCCTCCATCACCCATGGGTGCCCTTCCCCCCATTGCCGCATTCCTGGTGGAACCTAACCCCCTCCCTCCAACCCGACTTCAGGAGGTCTCTATATGGTCTGTGTGAGGAGCTGCCTGGTGGGGTGGGGGAGGGTAGACCCAAGCACCTGGTGTATCCTGACTGATCTGAAGGCCTTGTTTCCATCTGACCTTCACGCCCCCAGCCACAATGACCTGCCCCAGGTCCTGAGACAGCGTTACAAGAATGTGCTTCAGGATGTTAACCTGCGAAATTTCAGTCACGGTCAGACCAGCCTGGACAGGCTTCGAGACGGCCTCGTGGGTGCCCAGGTACCACAGGGACACACAGGGTGCCACAGCATGGCTGCTGGGGAATGTTGGGGTCACAGAAACCTGGATCGGCTAGCCTCTGGGTGACTAAATACAATGGGGCATGCAGTGTGTCATCATGTGGCTTCTGAGGAAAGTGGGGCCTTGGAGGCCAAGACAGGCTAGCTGCATGGATGCCCAGGTTCTGTGGAAACATGCAGAAAATGACCAGAAAATCCCTGGTGAGTGTGGGGCGGGTCTGCTGTAACCACAAAGGACATAATGGATTGCCTTGGGGCATTCACATAGCACATGGACTAACAGCAGTTTTTTGCTTGTTTGTTGGTTTGTGTTTTTGAGACAGTATCTTATGTCACCCAGGCTGGAGTGCAGTGGCACGATCTCGGTTCGCTGCAACCTCTGCCTCCCAGGTTCAAGCAATTCTCCCTGCCTCAGCCTCCTGAGTAGCTGGGATTACAGGCACTCGCCACCATGTCTGGCTAATTTTTGTAGTTTTAGTAGAGACAAGGTTTTACCATGTTGGCCAGGCTGGTCTCCAACTCCTGACCTCAGGTGATGCACCCACCTCGGCCTCCCACAGTGTGGGAATTACAGGCGTGAGCCCGTGGGCCTGGCCGTAACAGTAATTTATGATGTGTTGTGAGTCCATCATTTGACTGCTGGCAGCCGTCATCAAGGAACCAGGGCTCGGTGGTTCACAGCTGTAATGCCAACACTTTGGGAGGCTGAGGCAGGAGGATTGTTTGAGCCTGAGGGTCAAGGCTGCAATGAGCCATGATCACACCACTGCACTCCAGCCTGGGTGACAGAGCAAGACCCTGTCTCAAATTTTAAAATAAAAAATA